TCTCTGCAGGCGTTACTGCACTGGTCACTATCAAGTCATGCCATAACATGCTTTCCCTCACATCACCTATTTTGATAGATATCAGGTATTGTAGTCATACATCCAAATGTGCCATAGCATTCTCAAATGCTGAGAGTGTGCTGGACTCTGTACGTGTAACTGTGTGTACACAGAGGAAACATTTGAGGATGTATGGTTCACAGTGTGCTGCAGATTCTAAAAAAAAAATTCTTGACAACATAAACTAAACTGTATAGGCTTTTGGATATAGTCAGCCTACAAACACAATAAGCCTTAGCTAACTAAAGAAAGCACAAGACATTTCCTCAGCTAGAGATATGTCACCTAAACAAGGTATCCACCTGTAAGAGACAGTGCATTTGAGTTAAAAGAGAGATCTAACACTGTGTAACCAGAAGAAGGGAAAGATTTCACTCATGAACAAAATTTAACTGAAGGCTACAGGTTTGCACCTGTATGTAAGCCCGGTCTCCAGTTCCCTCAGGGCTGTCTAGCAGGAAAAGGACTGAACTCCAGATATGAACAGCTAAGCAAACTCTGTCAAGATGCTGTTTGAGACCTGCATTTTGTATTTGATTTTCCTTTGCAAAGGAAGACAACTTCTCCAGCAGGAAGATCTGTGGAATCAGGATGTTAGCATCTCAACATAAACTCCTCCTACTCTGCCAAATGCTGGCTTCTACGAATGATGGCTTAAATGAAGTCTGTGGAGTATTCCTCCAGCTATTTTTTTGTAGCAGTGAAAATGTATTGGAATCAGAACTGCAGTCAATTCTGATTCGACTTCTCATTCTACAGTATCTCACCTTTCACTAAAGTCTCACCCTAAATAAAAATAATCAGAAGTAAAATTACTTTTGTGTCAGCTAGCCAACTAAATAAACTGCAGGAATTTCCAGGCTTTTTTTTTTATTGTTTTGAAAAAAAATCAAGTCTTCACTAAATCTGATCCTGTATATTCTCACACTTAACATTTTCACTAGATCGAATAATAGGAAAAAGCTAGTACTGCTACACATTTTTACAGAGGAAACCTGATATGAATTGTCAAAAAATAAATTACAATGCTTCTTTAAGCACAAATGGAAACCCAAGAAGGAATCTTGTCTATTGTCATTCATGTTTTCTGTATTTTCATGGTCTTAACGCTAGCAATTTTTCTGTTATTTCTTTTCCCATAAGGATAGTGATCCACAGAGCACCATTTAAGATCTTTTCATATAATGTGTTCAAGGAAACATCACCCAGATTTACTGGATACTTGGATTCTTTTGGTATGATCAACTGAAAAGATCAGTTCCTGGTGCCTGTGTCAATGAGGTCAGATCAGTCCGAATTCCTGAATTATTATTTTACTCTCATAAATTATCCTGGATGGTCTTGCTCAGCACAGTTACTCAATTAGCAATATTCTATGCATTGTAAGACTGTATTATTATATCCCTGAGGAGAACATAATGTTGCTTCTACTGCTTATTCAGGTTTTTGTTATATTTCAGATGCATTCAGTTCTCTCCGTGGAGGCTTTCCAACACAAAATAGACACTAGCCATAACTGAACAAAATCAAAATACCTTCAGTAGGTAATAAATTATATAATTATTATTATTAATACAGTTACTCCCATTCCTCCCAGCAATAACAACAAATTGATGTACCCTCTACCCACAAAACAAGAGTTCCTACCTGAATACACTAAACAAAACATAGACCAGAATGAAAACATACTTTAAGTTGTACTTATTCAGAGTGTCAGTTCCCCAGTAGTGTTCCAAACACAAAGAAATAACATAAAATTCAACTGAAATAAAAGCAAAAATTTATCTTTTAAGGCATTTATTGTATGCCTGATTCAGTCTTGAAAGCAGTTATAATGACCTACTTTCACAATTTTCTGGCATAGTTTTAATTGTAAAATATGAATGAAGAAAACCAATGAAATACAATTATGCCTTACAAGACACTAGAAAGAAATTTCAGAGATGCTGGTAGGCATTTCTTTACTGACTTCAAGATGGAACACGGTTTATAAAAACTTAGTTGCTATAAATATGATTACAACTTTCCACAGAAGTTGTATTGTTGTCTCCTGATACTGACATGCTTTTTCAACCCTATGTCAAGTAAGGAGACACTTAGCTGACCAGCTGAACAACATAATATCTTTAGAAACTAACCAAGGACCCTTTTTATTTTGACCACTTTCTATATGGTAATGGTGCTCTGCGAGCTGAGTATCTCCTGCCTCTCAATTACCAAAAATTTACTTACAGGAAGTCTACAGCACATTCAGTATTTCAGCATTTCAATACCAGGCCTTGTATTAGTGCTTGTGCCAATACATGATTCCTTGTCCGGCACTTACCATCTGAAAACAGGAACAGGGTGAGATAAAACAGGGAATATTATGAATTCATCAGACACATTTACTGCAAGTTTTATATCTGTGGTATTCATGTATAATACTGGTATCCAATATGCTCTTTAAGAGATGGATGTTTAAGGCACACAAGACATGTTTTCGTGATGTGACCTCCCCCTCACATACCCAAGAGACCATTGACTTGTCTCATTGCAGACACAGCACCACACATGCTTCCTTAGGGCATTAAAGGTTCCCCTGACACTTGGCGAAAAGCTTGCTCACCGTATGACCAGTGCACTCATCTATTTCAACAACACATGTGCCTGTCCTGTTATAGATGCAGTCGTGTGGCCACCAGAGAAGCCCCCTTAGGGTCATGGGATGGAGGCAGCTTGGGAACTGTACAAGACATCTTCTGTCCAGCTTATACATGAGGGGCCTTTTCAGAAGGAGCAGCAGGAGCTGCTCTGGCTGCAATGTTCTGGTGGGCCAGGTGCAAGCCTGAGCGCAGACCTCTCCAGGGAGCAGCCAAGGGAGAAGGGCTGCTGGCCAGAGCCATAAGGACTCTCCTGGTTTCTTCTGCAGGCATACAGCACTGACAGCTTGGTAGTCACGAGTTTTTCAGAACAACCTGCTCACACTCAGTGGGTCAAGAGATCTTAAGAATTTTTGAAAGAGTAACATTTCACATTTGTCCCAAAACCTGAGTACCTAATCAGTTGTTGTGCAACTGGTTAGATACTTTAGGTTAAAAGTAACATCCCAAATAACTATAGCAGCATGGTATTTAAATCAAATCTAAGCAAGCCACACGATACAGACTCTCTCTAGTGCTGAGACTTATACTTGAACATCACACAAAAGCTAAAAGCCTTCATTTAGTATCTCAGTAATGACCAGAGTAGATCAGTATCTCAGTAAATGACCAGAGTAGATCAGAACTAGTAATGTAGTGCATATTTGATGATATCCAAGTACATTAACACAGTTACATACCTCTGTACCGTCACATGAACAAAATTATAGATTTCTAGGTGAGCAAGAGGCTAGGTTTTTCTGGTTGCCCAACCAGACATTCTACAGATCCATGTAAAGATGGCTTCATCTTCCTCATTCATTTGAGCTCAGAGAAAATAGAAACGTATATGAAACCGCCATTTTGATAACCATCAAGTTGGTAAAACAGGACAGCACTGCAAAGACTTGCCTACAGGTGGAGTCACTAGTGTCTACACAATTTTCAAACCTTTCACAGTGTACATTCTTTCCCCTCTGCTTCTTTATTCCCTCCTCACTCTTACTATGTTCAGTTAAGACACATACTCAGTCTCTCTAATTTCTTTCTGTGTCCCCCTTCTTGTGTACTATTGCCCTTCTCCCTCTTTCTTATCCTTCCTTTCAGTATCCCATCTCTTTAACTCTACTCTTTCCAGATGTTTTAAATTCCCCTCCTACAAAAGTTTACCTACAAAATATACCACAATTTCTGACTTTGCAAATCATCAGCTTGCTTCATGTACTTGTACATTAAAACTCTTGTCATTCTTGTTTCATGATAAAAACTGCAAACCTTTCAGAGAACTGAAAAATCCCTTATCAATGTCCAAATGGTGCTTTGCACAATGGAGACCTCCTGATGTGACAACACATGGCTGAATGCTATTTATAAACTTAGGTTGAACCATACGACAATGTTGCAATTATTTTACTTAGATACTAAACACGTAGTATAGCTCATGTATATACTCTGAATTATATAAATATATCTGCATTTAATCACATTTAATATATATAATCGCATATATATATATTAATTATATATATATATATGATTAAAATACAAGCAATCATTTTCCATGTAAAGTACTCGTCCTATAAAAGTTCCTTAATTGACAATGAGAGCTTTTCAGAGTGCATTATATGGATTTTCCCTGAAAGAGGAAGCATAAAAAATTGCATAGGATTTTAAATGTTTTAGGTATCAAACAGAAAAACTCTCCATTTTTCCTAGATATTTCCTTGATATTTCAGTATCAAATTTAACTGACATAAACAGAAATGAGGAAAATATATACAGATAGTGAATACACTTGTAGGCTGAAAGGAAAGGAATTAAAAAGCAATAAAAAGCAGTATTAATGCGGTAAAATATAACATACTATTTTGTTCATGAAAATTGTTTCGTTTCAAAATAATGGTGCATGTTTAAATGTGAGAAAAGAACATAATGCAAACACTATTCATCACAGAAGAGAAGGAGTTTTACAACTGTGTTTCAGCGACCCTTCACAAAATCCCAGTCAGAGTTCCCCCCAAATGTAAGTACAGCAGCTCATGTTGGCTCCTGAGAAGCAAAGGAATTAGTACATTAAGTAGGTTCCAGCAAGCAGAAAATACAAGCATCAGTCCAACCTGAAAAGAATCTTTGCTAAAAGCCAAGCTTAGTGAATGTCCACACCAGAAAAGAAATACAAATGTTTGACTGTTTTCTTCTTTTGCTAGAATATTGTTGATTAGGCAACTTCAACAAGATATCCAAACAAATAAACCATAATGCATGCACATTATGCACATTTAAATAATTCCAGAGGGGGAAAAAAAATCCAGTTCCTACCAGTTTGGCTAAGTTGTGACGTGCTACGGCTTTTCCGCGAGAGACCCACGATGGCGACCATCTTTGCGCCGATGCTGGATCGTCTCTTCTTGCCGCCACCGCCAACGGTGCCCACTGCCGTGTCCGACTGGCTGCCATCGTTTTTCTCCAGCGTGTACATGTCCCCACCGATGCTGGTGCTCTTAGTCATGTTCTTTCCTGAGGCGCCCATCTGTCTGCTTTGCATTTTGGATGTAAAGACACTGTCAGCCAGTGGATGGATAAACAGCGCAGACAAAAAAGAGTAAAAAGGGGAAGACAGAAAAGGACAGGTTTCAGATGGAAAGTTTTGGGAGACTGGAGGGTAAAAGCAGCTAATTCACACAGGTAGGGTTTGGTTTTTTAGAGGTAAAAAAGGAGCAGCTTTAATGGTAAGCTCCTGTTTGGTATTTCATTTTAAATAATAAGCTCTTACTGATTTTCTTAAATAAAATTTCTTACATGACCAGCAAAAGCATATCAAAGGATTAATATATTCGTGTAACATGTACACATTTTTTAAAAACTCTATGCAAGATTATAAGTATGTTCATATATATATTTTTTTGTTTTGACTGATTTGAGTATTGCTTTTCCACATTTGGCTAATCAAATCATATGCATTTGTTCCTCTAGTTTATCAGCTAAGCAGGTTCTGAAAATGGTTTGAGTAGGGATTAATACATAAATCCCTACATAAAATAAAATACATAAACTCTCATTTATAGTTCTTGCTTCAACTAGAAACAACGGCTGCAGACACTCAGCACACATGAATAGTGGTTATGGGTATATTTTTAACTGAGCAGGCTTTCTTTTTGTTACTAAAAGCTATTTGTATTATGCTGGTATCTTCTTACAATATTCTATAAACATAAATAGTCGCAAGCTAGAATACAAAGTGTTGTCCACAGTTGTGGAAAAGCAAAGGGTCTTCAAGACCCTTCAGTGAACCAAAGAAATGTCACTTCCTGGCACTTTGACAATGGCTTGGGTAAAAAAAAAGTCCAGGTGAAAATAAGCTTGCTTCAGTATAATGTTTTTTGAATTTACTCTTCCCATCCCTTACGCATCTCATTTGTATGTTTCTTGAGCTTTATCTATGCCAGTATTAAGTTGTTACTCACCTGCATTTTTGCCAATTGACGTGGCACAGCAATATACTTATGCTGAGCATGTGCTGTCCCTCTAATCGTGTCTTTATCACCAAATAATTATTTTAAGTGTAAAAACATAAACACACTAAGTGGTTCCTGTTCCTCACCAATATCTCAACTTTTAACTCTCACAGCAAAATAATTATTTAATAGTAAGTTCTTTGGTTATCTGGTCTGAGATTATAAAAGCATTTTTTATTTACTTATTTAAACAGGCACTGCACACAAATTCACCAGTGAGGACACCACAGTTCAGGAGGTACAAACCAAAAAAATTTAGTTTTCAATCCCCAAGACAGAAGGTCGAACTGTGAGCAGACTGAGAGACAGACACACTAGTGCTGCTTGGGAAATTTACATTCTACAACCCTCTCAGATGCTCTGCCCCTCTTCTTCACACATATGTACACACAAATAAATACACACAAGTATATATTCCTCAGTGAAACAGATACTTGATTCATTAATGAACAGAATGAAAGTCTGAAGTCCAGCTTTGATTTCTAAACATCCAGACATTTCGAGGATATTTTCAGTAATCTAGTTCATTTATCCAATGTTTTTGATGAAATTACACAGTGATTAAATTATCCAGTTCTTTTATCCCCTCCATTTGGCAACAAATGCGTGTAAAAACATGTATAAAGCATTTATAAAACACTTGGACTTTATGTGACTTAAATTAACTTTACTGATAAAATGGAATTTTATTATAATACATATGTTGTTCTTATTTATAGACTGTTTCTACAGGCTCTAAGCAGCTGCATCTGAATTATCTGCTAGACATGCACAGCACTCCCAGAGGGACCTGATCTCCCAGTGGTCCAGGTTAAGGGACCTTTCCTTTGCACGGAAATGGTGATCTACGATGATGATAGCAGTACATGTCCACATTTTGCCCTGACATGTAACCAGTAGATGGCTGGACAAACAGTCAGACTGGAACACTCTTCAGCAAATGTGGGCCTGATAATATGCACAGAGAGTATTTCTATTTCAGTGAAATTCTTGCACAGAACTCAGCCCTTTATAATTCTCTTCATTGCATCTCACTAGTAAGTCCATACTAGATACAGTGTTAGACAATCTGTAGAGAACAAAACAACAGAATATTTTTGGAAACCAGGGAAAATTATTACTTTTGTGTGAATGTGTAAAATCATCACTATCTAAAGGCTAAAAAATATTGGTTTTGCTTCTTGAATACATTTTCAAAAACATACACAGGCTATTCCTGGAGCTTCACCCTTCAGTAAATGGTTCTGGAGTGGATTTTACGGGGTACAGCCACAGTCTTCCCCTTACTTATAATGACCTATACCAATTTCAAAGAAAAGAAACTTCTATTGCTTCTTAACTGAGTTTTTATATGCATACATACTCTGTCAATAAAAACTTAACTATGGAATTAATGCAGCGGCCACAAAAGCAAAGGTATTGTTGGGTCTTTTACTACTGATTGGAAATGGGATGAGCCATCATATTTGGAATACCAAAGTAACTTTTTAAGATATTTGAGAGGTGCCAATAAAACTTTTTGCCCTTTAGTTGGCAGCCACATCTACATGAAGGCACAAAATGCTTGAAGTTGAACCACAACACTGAGAAAAACACAAGAACTAGTTTACCTGGTGAATTTCACACTAAAATCAAGTGGGATAGGATGTTGGTAAAGAGGCAGGGAAGGAAAAAAAAAAGTGGATCTGTATTCCTGGGGCTTTTTATCACTATGATAACTGACTTGTGAGATGATAACATCACATGCTGTATTTCCTTTCAAACTAACACCTTTAGAGATTGCTTCACAGGACGGAGATGCCACATGAACTAGTTCTCCGTTTCAACACTATCTCACAAATAAGAAATAACAGAGAGATCTAGAAATGTCATTGTTGGGAAGAGACAGTATATTCAGCTTTATGTCAGGCCAAATTCTAAGAATCAGAAAATTAGAGCCCTTTACCCAGTAATGCAAGTTTTTAAAGGAAATGTGATTAATTTCAGTGTTGTCTGTCAGAGCTCTTTGATGTATTTTTTCAAACAGTTGCATTCATATTTAGCACAGGAGTAGAAAACTAAAGCTATTTAGTTCCTAAAACTGTTTTGAAAACAGATCATTGGAGAGAGATCTTAAGAATGCTCCTTTGGGGAAAGACTTAGTATAAGTCATTAAATCTCTGTTATTTCATATGGGAGCTCGTTCTCACAGCACAGACTGGTAGGAGGAAAGTATTTTTTACTGCTTGCAAAACAGCCTACTCCAATGCTATGTTTTTCAAGAGCCACAGAATATCCCGAGTTGGAACAGACCCACAAGGATCATCAAGTCCAACTCCTGGCTCCACACAGGACTGTCCAAAAATCAAACCATGTGTCTGACAGCATTGTCCAAATGCTTCTGGATCTCCAGCAGGCTTGGTGCTGTGACCAGTGCCCTGGGGAGCCTGTTTCAGTTTCCGATCACCCTCTCTCAGTGAAGAACCTTGTTCTAATATCCAACCTGAACCTCCCCTGTTGCAGCTTCATGCCATTCCCTTGGATCCTATGATACCCAGGAAGCCTGTGAGCTCCTGTTGTATTTTATAACAGAAAATAGTAATTATGCCATTGCTTTATAAGTGATATTAACACTTAGGAAAGGTCTTATGACATAGCAGTGAAATCAGAAATAGTCTGTTTTCTCATAAAACACAAATTCTGAATTATAAAATCAAATTTTTATGTGTGTACCTGCTAACCATGAGGTAGACTTACTCAACCAGGTTCTTTTGACCAAATAAGAAAGCTAGGAAACAGAATTCAAGTGAAAAAAATATTTAATTTTAGGATTGAGTGAATATTCCAAAAACTAGTACAAATGGCTAATACTGAAAGTTCATTCACCATTTGCTATTTTTACCCTCTGAGTATTTTATTCTAAAAATACTTGTTCTAATTAAAGTTTTGGGGTTGTTTTGCTCTGTAAAAGCAGCAGGGGGAACATCTTTGTTATGTTCCCAGCTAGCCAACAGCTCTTGGAGAAAGCCATTATATAGCAGTGGCTTTGTTTTTTCTTAGTTCCTCCTTTTGGGAAAAGAAAAATCTTGGGGAAAAAAGTACTAGGAGAGTTGTGAAAGGCTTATAGTACTTCATAGTAAATCTGCAGTGCTCATGAGCAAAACAGCTCCTTCATGTGTACTCTGAACTCTTTTGGCCATTCAAGCCCTCCCTCACTAATTATTACTGGATACCTGTGAAGCTATCCTTCTACCCAGACTGCCTTTTGACAGTGCCAGAAATGGATTACTTCTAGAAAAATAGGGTGTTGTATGTCAGCTTGCACTCCTTTCTGAGGTAACAGAACTATCAGAGGGATGTCAGAGTTAAGAGACTACCTCCTATAAACTTTTCTTTTATCTGGAAACAGAAATTACTTATCCGGGAAGTTTTCTTTCCATGGACATATACACAAACATAATCCCACATCCACATTCAGTTAAATATGTACGTCTTAAATTTACGAGATGATATGAGTCAAGGAATAGATGTGCAGTACAAATAGGGTTTCCAAGTTGTCTGATGGTACTCAACTTAAGAAAACCCTCCACGATGAGAATATGCAGCCGTATGGGGCCAAAATAAATAAATATATAAATAAATAAACTGTGCTAGGCCATCATGTGAATGATGGTGCAAGAATCACCCTCATTAAAATCAAGACAGGAACAAACTTATCACACCACCCCAGCTGTGAGGCAGCCACAGAGTGGAGGTAGCCAGGCCCCTGACTATGGCTTATGGGGACCAACTAGTCTGCCAGAGCAGGGCGATGTTGCTTCCTGTACTGCCCCTAGTTCTCTTCAGTTGTGAGATGTAGCTTTATACACCCTTCCTAAAATACAGCATTCCTCTGTAATCCCTTCACAAACAAGCAGAGGGAGTACAAAAATGCATTTAAAGTGGCTAGTAACGGCCTCCAACATCTCATCCCCCAGTCTGTACGTATAACCAGGATTGTTCCTTCCCAGTTTAGCGGTATAGAGCCTTAAACTCCTTGGCTATACAGCAAATCTCAGATTGTTCTT